GGGGAGCTGGGGATCGTGGTAGTTACGGGCTGTTTGAGAGTGTTTCTGAATTTAGAGAAGTGCAAATCCAATCCAACTTGCTTTTTGTGTATTTATTCATTTTTCTTTTTCACTCCGCTTTTAATACCAGTAATTTGCATTTTGAATTTTTCCACGAAATCTAATCATGTACCGTTTTTTTTCGAAAGAAGGCACTAGCTCTCAAGAATAGCAAGAGTAACATTTCGATAATTTGCAACGTATGGAAAAGCCTTTTGTGCTAGCTAAATAAGCCACGATCATGCAAACGCGACAGGCGACCATTCCCGAACAGGAGAGCCCAGAATGACTGGTCTTAACAGCATGTTGTTGTTCTGAACCACAGTTGGTTTATATGAAACGTTTTTCATGAATTTCTGGTTCAGAAAACGAGGATATATGGATTATACCGGAAAATTTGCAAATTTTCTGGAAACCAGTTTTCCATTACCTGAATGAAGCCAAAGTTCTACCTGAACTGCTCTTCCAGGTACGACTTTCTTTTAGATCTGCTCAAAATCAGTTCTGAAAAAAAATCCTTCCGCTTTTGCTAGCGAGCGAGATAGTTTGGCATGTGTTCGGATACAGGATTGAGCTAAGTAATAGACCAGAAGGATTTTACTCAGGCGTCATGTGTAAGGTGATATTTTACGGTGCAAGCTATCTTTCATCCTTTAGATGTAGTAGTAAGGTGATATTTTACGATGCAGTCTCTCTGTGTGTTTCATCCCTTAGCTGTAAACACAGACTGGACTATTCATATGGGTAAAAGTGAGAATCGTGAAAAATTATTGAACCAGCAGGACTGCTATTTGGTATTTGCGTAGTAGCTCAGAACAGTGCATGGATACTGTTTTCTGAATTGGAGCAAGCTGTAGCAATTTTTTGGCGACATAGTATTTCAGCGTAGCTTATTACTGTACAAAAATTATTGCTCTGTGAAAGATTTTACGTACTCACTGGGTTTCCCTATGACTTGAAAG